TTAGCCTTATAAGGAGAAATCTGCTTGGGGTGGGACATCTAGGACAGTTTGCCTCACTCTTAGAAAGGAAGAGAAGATGAGGTGATGTCTTTATTTTCTCTTCTGGGTTTTGGTTGAAGACATAAGGAGTGTGATGTCTGGAGCTGTGGCAGCCACCTTGTGACCATGAAGGAAGCTCCCATGTGCAAGGTACAGCTGAGTGGGATGACAGAAATAATTCTGGTCTTTGATGATCTTGCTAAGCTGCTGAATTAACTGACCCCATAGCTGTCCTACCTCAGGACTTAATATGTAGTAAGTAAAAGCCATTTAATTTAGTTGGAGCTGTAATCATCCTGATATACTGATAGCTCTAAAAACAAGTAGGAACACTTATTTTATTTCATTTTATTATTTTTTAAATGTTTTATGTATTTCTGAGAGAGAGAGAGAGAGAGAGACAGACAGCATGATCAGGGGAGAGTGAGAGAGAGAGGGAGACAGCCTAAAATAGGCTCCAGGCCCCAAGCTAGCTGTCAGCACAGAGCCTAACACAGACCTTGAACCCACAGACCGTGAGATCTTAACCTGAGCTGAAGCTGGACGCTTAACCGACTGAGCCACCCAGGCGCTCCTATTTTATTTTATTTTTTTGTATTTTATTTTTGAGAGAGAGACCGAGCATGAGTGGAGGAGGGGAGTAAGGGCAGGAGACACAGAAATCCGAAGCAGGATTTCCCATAAAGAGGGAGGCACAGAATCCGAAGCAGGCTCCAGGCTCTGAGCTGTCAGCACAGAGCCCGACGCGGGGCCCAAACCCAAGAACAGTGACCTGAGTTGAAATCAGATGCCAACTGACTGAGCCACCCAGGCACCCCGGCACACATATTTTAAATGGGGTTCCTGGAACCATGCACAATGGGTCATCCTGGGATCCTAAAGAATTCTGTGAGTATTCTATAGGGATGTTTTATAAATAAGATTCTGTAATGGGTGTATATGTGTTTATGTAGAAAAAGTGTGAAGATACAATTCCTTTCATCTGTTTAAACTAAAGCAGTGCATTCATTTGCACTGAAATTTGAAACAAATTTCATTTTGTTTCAAAATGAATTTGAAACTGAAATTCATTTGAAACAAAGACTGGGGCAGACTTAACCTTTTCCGCCTGGAAAACTTCTTATTTGTCTTGGATAAGATTGAAGCTAAAAATAAGGACTTTTTTTTACAGTGTGTACAAAATCCTTAAACTGTCGCAAGATGTACAATTGGAATTTTTTACAACTCTTATCTTCTGAGTGATTATGAGTGCTACGAACTTTATTACCCCTTGCCTTGAAGATGTAAATCATTAAAATGTTACCATCATGTCAAGGTTGGCCGATCGTTTCTTAAGAATTGTTCAGCGTTAGTGGCTGAAGTGTTTGAAAACTCCTGTACTCCAATCCGTTTTTCTTTGAAAGAATCCGGCCCTCCTTTTTACTGTTAGCTGTTGTGTTCATTTTGGGAGGTCATTTTCATCATTAATGTACACATTACCACCTGATGTACCGTGAGGCCCTTTCACTCTTTTTTGCCTGTCTTACTTGTGCACCTGAAACTTTCACACCATAGCTATAACTCTAGTGCACAGGATTGCAAGTCATATTCGGGTTTAGGAGCCCTGCTTTGAATATCATATATTAGTGCTAGAATATTCATGTGCTGGCATACTATGCTTGACAAAACAATGTGATAAGTGATCGCACTCGTGGTTGCTTGCAGGAACTTGATTTTGGTCTAACATTCTTGTGTTTCCTAAGCATTACCGGCATATTAGTAAAGCGTGTGTCATATGCATATGTTTCCTGGCTTCAACATGTGCCTACGTCTAAGAGAGGTATTACTTTTAGCCTGATCACCATTATTACAATGTGAAGTTTAAAAATTCAAAGCTCCAAAGGCATTAAGTGTAACATTTCTGGTTAACTTAGGCGGATTTTCAAACATTCTCTCCATTACCAGATGGTTTAACATAGAGCTGAATAGCAAACAGACTTACGGTGTAGGAAATATTCATGTGTTCTTATCTAAATAAGGAGGCTGTTATTCAGCTTCTTCTTCGGTACCAAGAGACCAATGAGATTTATAGACGTTCTTACCAGTCGTAACCAGACGTGCCTTGTGAGAGCCACGGATGTAATATGTGTCCTCAGAGCCAAGTGCAGAGTGACAGGTGTGAAGTAATCACCTTTAGAGCCACAGCTCAGTTGGGGGGAGGAGCAGAATGCCAGGTCCAATTGCAGCCTGCTCTGCATTACGAGGGTTTCTGCAGTGCTTCCCAAATGCCGGTCCCCATTCCTATGCCGTGCCCGTTGTTTTCCAAAGCTGCATGATCTGTTTAAATACAGTATACAGCCTTCTAAAAACTACTACTGTCGCACGTAGAGTCGTGCTCAGTTTGCAGTGGGGCGGAAGGTAGATGGGTTTTCCGAGCAGCAGAAGATGAAGGAAAGAGGCTCAGACTGGCATCGGAAGAACAGGATGCTAATGTCAGCCCTGCCACAGGCCACCTGCCCCATGTTTCTGGGTCTCCTCTCCTGCCCTGGAAAGCAAGAGTGTCACCCCGATGACCTCTGAGACCCCCTTCCAGGTCTAAAAGCCCCGTGAGTCAGATTCCTGTACCTGTCAGCTGAGCTCCCAAACAGCAGGCTGGACACTGTGGTTCAGGAAGGAAAACATACAACTGAGAAACACTAACACCCTTTAATGCATTCAATCACTTTCATAGGAAACTTATGTAAACGGTTCGGGACCCATGATGGTCCATCCTATTTTAGATTCATCAGTTAGGAGGCCAAACATTTTCATCTACTGCTTTCTCACTATGTACCCTAACTTACAAAGTCCATTACATTCTCCTGACGTGGAGATAATATACCGCTCCGTCTGATTATTGACACTGTTGAAGGGAGCTATATAAACACAGGCCAATAATATTCAGGACCTAATAAAAATTATGACATTTCCTCAAGGGAACTGATTCTTGCAAGCCTATGAATATATTACATATAATAATCATCAGAGTTAACTCTGCTGTTGGCTTTTTTTTTTCTGTTATATTTAAAATTTTTTTTAAATGTTTATTTTTGAGAGAGAAAAAGAGAGAGAACATGAGTGGGGAAGGGGCAGAGAGAGAGGGAGACACAGAATCCAATCGGAAGCAGGCTCCAGGCTCTGAGCTGTCAGCACACCCGATGTGGGGCTCGAACCCGCAAACCATGAAATCATGACCAGAGCTGAAGTCGGTCGCTTAACTGACAGAGCCACCCAAGTGCTCCTCTGTTGTGTTTTTTATAAAAAACAGAAATAGTCAGGGCACATGCCTGGCTCAGCCAGTAGAGCATGTGACTCTTGATCTCGGGGTCATGAGTCTGAGCCCCACGCTGGGTGTAGAGATTGCTTAAATATGCTTTTATTTTTTAAAGATTTTTTTAAATGTTTACTTATTTTTGAAGGAGAGAGAGAGAGAGAGACAGAGCGTGAGTGGGGGAGGGGCAGAGAAAGAGGGAGACACCAAATCTGAAGCAGGCTTCAGGCTCTGAGCTGTCAGCACAGAGCCCGACGTGGGGCTTGAACTCATAGACTGTGAGATCGTGACCTGAGCCAAAGTTGGACACCCATCCGACTGAGCCACCTAGGCGCCCCATTAAATAAACTTTTAAAAAAGTTTATTTATTTATTTTGAGAGAGAGAGAGAGAATGCATGAGCTGGGGAGGAACAGACAGAGAGAGAGAGTAGAGACTCCCAAACAGGTTCCACGCTGTTAGCCCTGAGCCAGATGTAGGGCTTGACCTCACAAATCTTGAGATCATAACTTGAGCCAAAACCAAGAGTTGGATGCTTAACGGACTGAGTCACCCAGGCATCTCTTCACTAACCTTAAAACAAAAAAATCTTTAATAAAAAAATAAAAACAGAATTAGTCTTACAAAGCTATTTGATGTCTGCACAATCCTTTGTGCATGTAAGAATGCTGCATTTGAATATTAAAACGCCCAAAGGTCAAATACAGAATACATTTATTTCTGTTGTCGGTCTGGAAGGCCAGGAAGAGCCAGCCAATTCCCTCTCTTGCCTCGACACACAGCAGTGGTGAATATCATCAGCAAATTTAGCAATGACTGTATTTCCTAGTGTCTTTGGAGATTTGATTGTCTTTCTTTAGAGCTTATTACAATAGTTAAGAATCTTCAATATCTGGTCATTTTATTTTATTCCAGATAATCCTTTATGTTAGTGGTTTACATCAGTTTTTGCTTGTTTTCCCTGTGTGAGATGTAGACAGCTGGTGAGAATTTTTGGTACGATAACCTTTGTCATCGTTAGTAATTATCTCCGGGTGAGGCAACATGGTGTGTTCTTTCAATTGTTCAACATATAGTCATAGAGTGTCTTTGGTGTGCCATGCCCTGTTCTAGATTTGGGGGGCAGAACAGTGAAAATAAAGGACAGAAACCCCTGCTGTTTGGAGTTTATATTCTTTTTTTTTTTTTAATGTTTTATTTATTTCTAGGAGAGAGAGAGAGAGAGAGAGACAGCGTGAGCAGGGGAGGGTCAGAGAGAGAGGGAGTCACAGACTGAAACAGGCTCCAGGCTCTGAGCCGGCAGTCAGTACAGAGCCCGACACGGGCCCGAACCCACGAACCGCGAGATCATGACCTAAGCGAAAGTCGGACGCTTAACCGACTAAGCCACCCAGGCGCCCCTGGAGTTTATATTCTAAACGGAGGACACAGATGATAAACAAGATAAGTAAGTAAAAGATATAGTGTGTTAGGCAATGGTATGGGCTAAAGGAAATCTAAATGAAGAAAGGAAGTTAGGAAGTCCTGGGAGAGTGCGTGATTTGCAGTTTAGATAGTAACATCTGCATCACCAAGGAAATCAGCAAGTGCAAAGGCCCTGAGGCAGAAATGTGACTGGCTTGTGTCGTTGGAGTAAGGAGGCAAAGGAAAGAGTAGTAACTGATCAGGCCAGAGAGAAATTGAGAAATGGTGGAGGCCTACGGGCTAGAGGTGCTCATGGCCAAGGGCCTCCTGAACCACCGTAGTGACGTCAGCTTTTCCTTGAAGGGGTTTGTGCCAAAGAATGACGTGATCTGACTCTTATTTTAACAGGGATGTCTTGGCTGCCGTGTCTCGAGAGGGGACAAGTCCGGGAGCAGGGAAACCAGTTTGGAAGCTGTCGCAATTACCACGAGCCCGGCTGAGATCACCTGGGGGGTGCTTTCAGGTAAACAGGAAGAGGCCTGAGTCGGAGCCCTGGGGTTCTCTGGTGGGTAGCCTCAGGGGTGTGCAGAGACGCCTACACGGCACTGCCTGAGAAAGGAGCCACCAAGGAAGTAGGAAGAGGCCATTGAACATGGGCTCTGGGAGCCACATTTTCAGAAGAGGGAGGGAACGCCCGTTTCCAACGCTGCGGGTAGTCGGAGCAAGATGAAGACCCTCTGTGGTGGCCTCCGAAGTCATGTCGCACTCAGAAAGCCCCACAGTTCGAGCCAGAGTCGCCCTGTGAAGCCTGGATACCTTTCAGCTGTTACTTAGCCCTCAGTGTCCTCACTGGTATGGAGGTGTGAGACTTCCTGCCTCAGAGTGGGAAGAACCTAAGAAGGTACTGTAGGCGCCTGGGGGCTCAGTCGGTTGAGCGTCTGACTTCAGCTCAGGTCATGATCTCGCGGTTCGTGAGTTCGAGCCCCGCGTCGGGCTCTGTGCTGACAGCTCGGAGCCTGGAGCCTGCTTCGGATTCTGTGTCTCCCTCTCTCTCTGCCCCTCCCTCACTCACACTCTGACTCTCTCTCTCAGAAATAAATAAAGATTTTTTTAAAAAGTTGAAAAAGTTAAAACAAAAAAAGAAGATGATGCAAAGAAAGCATGAATGCATGGGCTCTGGCTGCCATACAAAATGCCATAGACCAGGGGACAGAACAGAATCTGGAGGGGAAAAAATACCACAGACTGTGAGGCTTAAATCACAAAAAAATTATTTTCTCCTAATTCTGCAGACTGCAAGTCCAAGATCAAGGTTCCTGGCTGCATCCTGCTGCCTTCACGTTGTGTCCTCAAATAGGCTTTCCCTTGTGGTCCTGCAAAGAGAGATCTCTTGTGTCTCTTCCTCTTCTTCTTTTCTTTTTTAAAGTTTATTTTTATTTATTTTGAGAGAGAGATTGAGAGCAAGCAGGGGAGGGGCAGAGAGAGAGGGGGAGAGACAGAGTCCCAAGCAGGCTCTGCACTGTCAGCACAGAGCCCAACGTGGGGCTCGAACTCACAGACTGTGAGATCATGACCTGCGCTGAGATCAAGAGTTGGACCCCGAAACTGCTGAGCCAGGCGCCCCATCTTCCTGTTCTTATAGGGACATCAGTCCTAGTGGATTATGACCTCATTTAATCTTAATGATCTCCATACAGGCCCTGTTTTCAAGTGCAATCATTCTGGAGTCAGAACTTCAACATATGAACCAGGGGAAGGGAGAGACACATCTCAGTTCATTATGAAAGCCCTTAATACTTTTAGTACTCAAAAAACGTTAATTCATATCTTATTTATTGTTGTTTATATTATTAACAGTTAAGTTTTTCTTATTTTTACAGTTTAGAGCAAATATATAATAAAACACACACTCAATTCTTACTTAGAAATTAAAAAAGTAATCTATCTTGCCCAAACAAGGTTTAATCAGTGGTTTAAAAAACAACAATAAAAAACAAACCAAAAAAGAAAAAAAAAAAACTGTAAGAAAAAGGTTGGCCAATACTGCCATCTATTGGAATTTTGTTCAAAGCTCATTTGTGGGACTTAATTTATTCATATCTTATACGGTGCCTTCTTCATTTTTCTCTTTCTAATGAGTGTAAATTTGGATGCTTTTGTTCTCGGTTTAATCCCACTAAAAGTATTCTGAGAAATACATACAGTTTCTAACATGATAAATTTGGTCTCTTCCTATTTTGAGGATCCATTCTGAATGAGACAAAGGTAAAGTTTAGACGAGAAGGTATAATAGAAACATCTTTACTTTTGGACACAGCTAAACATTTCATTAATATTAGTTCTTAGTTTTGTTTCTAAATTATAACGTGTTTGGAGTTCTGGCTCACTTAATCCATGAACAAAGAAGGCTAGTTTCAAGAGCCTGGTAGTAGACAATGAAGTTTCAGGTTTTGAGCTGACGAATGTTTGTCTGCTGATTCCGAGGACCAAGTTCCAATACTGCAGAGTTGATTCAGAAAGGACGCGTGGCCGGGGAAAGGGTGTAGCTGGCATCTTAGCACAGTACCTTGGTAATATCAGTGTCCAGGGAGAGCATAAATTGGCATTCTCCGCCTTTGCTAGGAAGAGAGTAATATAGGTCTGACTCCTATGTGAAATTTACCCAAACAGATGTGTGCATACCCTTTAACTCCGTGATTCCACTGTTAGGAATTTATCCTACAGATGTAGTTCCAAGTATGTGAAATGATGGGTAGATAAGTGTATCATTTTTTTTTTTCTTACAGCAGAGATCGGAAACGATCTCAAGGCCAGCAGCATGACACTTTAAGTAAATCATGGTATAGTCATGTAAAAGGAATACCATTATGGTATCAGGATGAGGCAGTTTTCTGTGCTGAAATGGATGAATCCCCAAGATAATATTGTTAAGGAAAATAGTAAAGTACAGAGCTGTGTGTAAGTTATACACATCTGTTAGGAATTCTGTTTTGCTGTGAATAATCGTAGCCTCCTGACAGTGGCTTAAGCTGCTTCTCTTGCTAATAAAAGAAAATCCAGACATAGGCAGGTTATGGCTTGTAAGACTCCCTGAGCCTCAGGACCCAGCTTTCTTTATTGAGTTGACCATCAAACCGAGTGGGCTGCTTCATGATCCAAGAAGGCTGCTCAAGCTCTAGTCATCCAGTACACAATCTCACTGGCAGAAAGAAAACTTTTGAGAAGTCTAACATGCACTTGGGTTTCCATTCCAGCATCTAGAACTTAGTTACATAGCCAACGTGATTAGCTAAAAGAAAGGATGTTAAGGGCACCTGGGTGGCTCAGTTGTTTAAGTGTCTGACTCTTGGTTTCAGCTCAGGTGGTGATCTCACAGTTTGTGGGTTCAAGACCTGCATTGGGGTCCAAGCTGACAGTGCAGAGCCTGCTTGGGATTTTCTCTCTCTGCTCCTCCCCCAGCTTGCACACGTGCGTGCTCTGTCTCTCTCAAAATAAATAAATACACTTAAAAAAAATAAAAAGAAGCCCCTCTGGAAAACAGTGTGGAGGTTCCTCAAAAAATTAACAATAGAACTCACCTATGACCCAGCAATAGCACTGCTAGGAATTTACCCAAGGGATCCAGGAGTGCTGATGCACAGGGGCACATGGACCCCAATGTTCATAGCAGCACTCTCCACAATAGCTAAAACATGGAAAGAGCCTAAGTGTCCATCCACTGACGAATGGATCAAGAAGATGTGGTTTATCTATACAATGGAATACTCCATGGCAATGAGAAAGAATGAAATCTGGCCATGTGTTGCTACATGGATGGAACTCGGGGGTGTTATGCTGAGCGAAATAAGTCAGGCAGAGAAGGACAGCTACCATATGTTTGCACGTATAGGAGGAATAAGAGGAACTTAATGGAGGACCATGGGGGAGAAGAAGGGGAAAAATAGTGGGGGAGAGGGAGGGAGGCAAACCATGAGAGACTCTTGAATGCTGAGAACAAACTGAGGGCTGATGGGGGTGGGGGAGGGGAAAGAGAGCGATGGGCATGGAGGAGGGCACTTGTGGGGACGAGCACTGGGTGATGTATGGAAACCAACTTGACAATAAACTATTTAAAAAAAAAAAAAGAAGCGTTGTTAAGTGTAGGTTTTTAGATGGACAGTAATGAGCAGCCGTAAGTGAATTTGGGGCGCTATTGGAGGAAGTGGGAATGACTGTCGGGACAGGCACACGCTGTCTCCGTCGAGCTATGCTAACTATTATGCGGTGGGGAGGGGACGTAAATAATATGTATCTGTATTTGTTTGGAAAGGGTTAGAATATCTAGAAATATACAAGTACCTAGAAACAATATCGTCTTTGCAAAGACCTAAATTGACTGAGGGAAAGGCCAGGAACAGAGGTACTTTTTGCGACTTACCATTTTGTATTTTTTTGAATTTTATGGTATGTCCATTTTTCCTATAAGGAAACTTTGAATGCAAAAAGGTGTCCGCTAATAACGCTAGGAAGTAACCATACTGCAATATACAAATGTTTCAAACCAACACGTTGCACACCTTGAACTTACACAGTGTTATGTCAATTGTATATCTGCTGCATGTCAACTATAGCTCAGCAAACAAAGAACACATTTGACTTTGAGATTTTGCATCGGACCTGCTTTGTTAGCTAGAGTTTCCCAGAAGGAATAAAGTGGGGGTGGGGTGGGGTGGAGGAGAGATGAAATCCCCTGAGTGGAAGAAAAGACGAAGAGAAACAGGATTGTGTTTTCATTATGCCCACTGGGAAGGAAAGAGCTAACCAGACTCCGGTTGACTCACACCGCCCTTCACATGACTATCTGGCTGGCACACGTGTTTCTCAGCTGAGATGAGGCTTGATAAGAGTTTGCAAGAATGGACAGAAATAAAAACTCCGTGGGGGGTGGGGTGGGAATGAAATCATTGTCTTTAGCACAGCAAACTTTTCCTTTGATATACCTGCACTCTGACACTCTCTGATCCATTTACAAATGAAAAATGCACGTTTGAACTTTGGAATCAGACAACCTGCCCAGAATGCTCTGATGCGTTGAATGCATTAAATGCATGCTGATATTTTCTTTCCTCCCAGAGGAAGATTTCAGGAGCTCCCTGCCTGGACTGGCCCCTTACCCCACTTGCTTGCCGATGCTTGAAATTCTTCAACGGGAGATAAAGCCTCTCATTCTGCAATTTGGAGATAAATCTTAAAATCAGAGGGTAAGGTAAGCCACGTGAAAATGGGGCTGAAATGGCAAGCCATAGAATACAAAGGAGGCTGACAAGGGACAGCCAGCCTGTTGCCGTCCCCACTGAGAGAGAGGGAGTGTGGTATATGGAAGGTGCAACAGAGAGTGTTATCACACAACATGGTTATCTCTGGGCTCATGGGGAAGACAGCCAGCCTAAGGGCCTGTGATAGAAAGAAACAGAGTCTCTTAAGGGAAACCTCTGTGACCAGAGCCAAGAGGCATAGGGGAAGAAAGGGAGCAGTTCTAAGGGAAAAAAGACCTGCATTCCATTCCTGAAGGAATATCCATTGCCCCTGGGGAATAGGCTTAACAATTTATGTAGTCGAAAGGTACAGACTCCCAGTTATAAAATAAAGAAGCTCTGGGGGTGTAATGTACAGCCTGGCATCAGTAGTTAATAACACCATATTGTATATTTGTTTTTTTTTTTAAATGTTTTATTTATTTCTAGGAGAGAGAGAGAGACAGAGAGAGAGGTCAGAGAGAGAGGGAGTCACAGACTCTGAAATAGGCTCCAGGCTCCGAGCTGGCAGTCAGCACAGAGCCTGACGCAGGGCTCGAACCCACGAACCGCGAGATCATGACCTAAGCGGAAGTCTGACGCTTAACCGACTAAGCTACCCAGGCGCCCCCGTATTGTATATTTGAAAGCTGCTGAAAGAGTAGATCTTAAAAGTTCTCATCACATGCAAAAAAGTGTAACTCTGCATGGTAGATACTAACTGGATTTATCATGGTGATCATTTTATGCCGATGATATTTGCAATATATGCAAATACTGCATAATTACGTTGTACGCTTGAACCTAATGTTATGTCAATTATATCTTGAAAACAGTGATACAGGTTTAGTAATGAAAGTGTTTTCTACCAGTGGACACTGGCTTAAGGCTTCCATTAACCAATTTAACTTTTTCCTCTCCACTGTGTTACGTAGATAAATATTCACACAACGTGTGAAGAATGTTGAAATAATCAGCACTGATAGATCTCCATATTAGTGTTTTTCTTAATTTAAATATATCATACTTTAATGTTTTATCCATTTAAAAATGGATTTTGAAAAGTGTTGGCAGTATCTTACAAAGCTGACCAATTTATCTAAGTTATGACCCAGTAAACCCACCCTTAGGTATTTACCCAAGAGACAGGGATGCATATGTCTTTGGAAAGAATTCCTGGAAATTTTTCATAGCTTTATTCAAAATAGCCCCAAACTGAAAACAACCCAGCTGTCTATCAATAGTAGAATAGATTAACCAATGGTGGGAAATTCATAAATGGAATATTGCTTAAGCTAAAGAGGGGATGAACTGCTGAGAAATACGGCAACATGGATGACTTTCAAAAGTACCGTGCTGGGGCGCCTGGGTGGCTCAGTTGGTTAAGCTCCGACTTCGGCTCAGGTCATGTTCTCACATGTTGTGAGTTCGAGCCCTGCATCGGGCTCTGTGCTGACTGCTCAGAGCCTGGAGCCTGCTTCAGATTCTGTGTCTCCCCCTCTCTCTGCCTCTCCCCTGCTCATGCTCTGCGTTTCTCTGTCTCTCAAGAATAAATAAATGTTTAAAAAAAATTTTAAAAAGTACTGTGCTGAGTACAAGAAGCTTTTTTTTTTTTTTTTTTTTTTACAAGAAGCTTTATACAAAACAGTATGTGCTATCTTCTTGTGAGATAAGCAAAATTATAATCTATAGCAGGAACAAGGGAATCCATTCAACGGCTGCCTCTGGGAGGTTGGAGGTGGGGGTATGGGTTGACTGGAAGGTGATCTGCAGAATCTTTAAGTAACCTTACTCTACTGTACCTTGACAGAGGTTTGCACAGATGTATGGTATTCCTTGTAACTCCTGCATGGCCCACTTCAGAACTGTGCATTTCATTGTATGCAAATGTTACCTCAAAGGAAAAAGGCAGCAAACCAAAACTAGACTCGAATAGATGATGTGCATGTTGGAGAATGTGGGGAGAAGTGTATTGCTTTCTGAGACTTACTTTGATATGCATCAGAAAAAATAAATGAATTGGCGAGTGGATAAAGGGATGGATAGATGGATAAATGTGTAATAAAGGAAGTATTAGTAGAATGTAATTGTTGAACCTCATTGGAGAATATATGAGAGTTCATTGTAAAATTCCTTCATTTTTTGGTATGTTTAAAAGCTTTTATAAATAAAATGTTGACAAGGGTGCCTGGGTGGCTCAGTTGGCTCAGGTCATGATCTCACGGTTTGTGGGTTCGAGCCCTACCTCAGATACTCCATATTGACATTGTTGAGCCTGCTTGGGATTTTCTCTCTCTCTCTCTCTCTCAAAATGAATAAACTAAGGGGCGCCTGGGTGGCTTAGTCGGTTAAACGTCTGACTTTCGCTTAGGTCATGATCTCGCGGTTTGTGGGTTCAAGCCCCGCGTCGGGCTCTGTGCTGACTGCCAGCTCAGAGCCTGGAGCCTGTTTCAGTCTGTGACTCCCTCTCTCTCTGACCCTCCCCTGCTCACACTGTCTCTCTCTCTCTCTCCTAGAAATAAATAAAAAACATTAAAAATTTTTTTTATATGAATAAACTAAAATTTAATTGATCTTGAATTTGGAGTTCTAGTAAAGAGCTTGAGCTCTGACCTTACATTATCTATGTTGGAGGTATTTTTGTGAGATTGGGGGTGACCTGCAAGGAGATCTCTTGGCAACTGTGAGACCTTTCATTGTGCTTTTTTGTTCTGTCGAAACTGGCACATACCAGAGCCTCAGAAAGCTTTTGAATGAATGAAATGAATGAATAGTCTGGCTTCACATCATCACAGGGGAAAGGGGAAAGGGGCTCATTCTAAGATATGGAAGTTGGGGCACCTGGCTGGCTCAGTCGGAAAACCATGCGACTCTTGTTCTTGGGGTCATGAGTTTGAGCCCCACTTTGGGTGTAGAGATTACTGAAAATAAAATAAAATGCAGAAGTTTGGCAGAAGGACAAATGGATCAAACAAATGGTGGGGCTGATGTCTTGGAAAATAGTAACTAATAGTAGCAATGTTTATCAATCTTTTTTATTTTTAAATATTGTTTACATTTATTTTTGAGACACAGAGAAAGACAGAGCACAAGTGGGGGAGGGGCAGAGAGAGGGAGACAGAATCTGAAGCAGACTCCAGGCTCTGAGCTGTCAGCACAGAGCCCGATGCAGGGCTCAAACTCACTAACCTTGAGATGATGACCTGAGCCAAAGTCAGAGGCTTAACTGACTGAGCCACCCAGGCGCCCCAATCAATCTTTTTAAAAAATTTATGGGCGCCTGGGTGGCTTAGTTGGTTAAGCGTTCAACTTCGGCTCAGGTCACAATCTCATGGTTCATTACTCTTCCCCTAAATGCATTACTTCTCAAAAACTTGAAAGTCTATTATCTTTTATAGGTTTCTATATAAGTAGCATCAAAACTGCCAAGCAGTTAAAGCTCTTTTGTTATTCATTATCTTGGGCATTTAAGGTTGTGTTTTCTTGGTTTTGCAATATCTTAGGATTGCTTCTTTAATAACAGAGTGGAAGTCTATTGTACAAGAGATTTGGGGAGGCAAAGGTGTACCTACGGACAATGGGCTGGGGCAACTCAGAAAATCATGACGAGATTTTTTCTCCTGGAAATCTCTAATTTTTCTTTATTTTAAATGACTTCTGGTTCAAATTTGACACCCCACTGTTAGGAACACTTCCTTCCCTCCCTCTTTCCTTCCCCCCATATCACCTTCTCTCTCTCTCTCTCTCCAGTCAAAGGAGATTCTTAAGTTTAAAAATTCTTTATTAGCATTGGCCATGTGTCAAGCATTTGTGACACATTAATTAAGAAATAAGACAGAGGCGCCTGTGTGGCTCAGTGGGTTAAGCATTCGACTTCGGCATAGGTCATGATTTCACAGTTCACAAGTTTGAGCCCTGTGCTAGGCTCTGTGCTGACAGCTCAGAGCCTGGAGCCTGCTTCAAATCCTGTGTCTCCCTCTCTTTCCACCCCTCTCCTACTTGCTCTCTCTCTCTCTCTCAAAAAATAAATACACATAAAAAAATTTTTTTAAAAAAGGAAATAAGACAGACTCCAGACACAGCACTTTCTTCTCTGACCTCACACTCAATCAAGTCAATGTTTCTCCCCCCCAAGTTTTAAAAAAGTAGACTCAAATCATCTGAAAAGCTGGAAAATAGTATGCAAACACCAAGTATTCCTCATTTGAACTTAACTCTTGCTTATTTCTCAGATGATAGATAGATAGATAGATAGATAGATAGATAGATAGATAGATGATAGATAGATGATAGATAGATAGATAGATAGATGATAGTTGATAGATAGATAGATATAAGATAGATACATAGATAATGCATAGATGATAGATGATGTGTGTGCATATGTGAATGAGAGAGATTTATACTTTTTCTAAGTCATTGAAATTAAATTGTAGAAGCCATGATACATAACCCTGATATTCTTCAGAATGCATCTCTTCAAAATAGTACATTAAGGCTAGATCTTGAGAAGAGAAAATATTGTGTCTTTTTTTTTTTTTTTTTTAGCTAGACTGGATCATTGAAGGAGACTGTGATCTGAGCAGAGAATACAAGGAGAATGCAGATTGGAGTTCTGGTAGCCATGGAGCCTGCAGTTTGGACCTGGATTGGATTTTCTAAGTGGCCCAACAAAATGGCAGCCCTGTTGCAAAAGCCCAGGAGTAATGGCTCATTTCTGGGTGAAGCATGTTCAGGCATAAGAGCTTCTTGTCAGGCTGGATTTGATGAATGAAGTAAATACATCTAACTAGCTCTGTCCCTGTAGTGTGTACTCCAACCTCCCTTTAAGTTCTCACATTGAATCAAGAGTAATTTTGCACACCAGACAACTGGTAGAGCATCCACTATATTTTGGACCCACTTGAGTATCTAAAATACTGTATAGGGACATTGTCACAATATAAGGAAATCTTCCTTGCATCTTTCCCTCTTTCCACCCCACCATTACATAATCAGGTAGCAACAGGGATTTTCAGCAATAGGTTTAGGAGCACTCTGATGTGGGGTCATTTCCAGGAATCAATTTGATACAAATTGTAATTCTGTCCTCGGTTCAGTACATTGGTTTCCAATAAAGTTATATCATCCATTGGTCAAGTATTGCCAATATTTCTGTTTAATGGTTTAATGTATAGTATGATGACATCAAAACCAGTTCTAGATTTAGTCCGACAGTTTAAAATGTATTTTTCAGGGCACCTGGGTGACTCAGTTGATTAAGCGTCCAACTTTGGCTTGGGTCATGATCTTGAGGTGCATGAACGTGAGCCCCACGTCTGGCTCTGTGCTGACAGCTCGGAGCCTGGAGCCTGCTTCGAGTCTGGGTCCCTCTTTCTCTCTCTTTGCCCCTTCCTCACTTGTGCTCTGTCTCTCTCAAAAATAAATAAACATTAAAAATAAATAAATAAATGTATGTATTTTCTTGTATAAAATTTTGGGGAAAATAATATTTTGAGATAAAAAACATCTTTTAGTTACACAGGCTTAGATTTTCGTCACATTTATATGCCTTAATGTTCAATGTGTGTATTTACTACATTAGAGACTCAAGGCACAAATACAATTGTTCCATTTATTGCCACAATAAGCAACATGGAACATCAAAAATAATATGTATTCATAAAGAAGAGCAAAGATGGTACGGCACTATAAAATTAAGAAGGACATTACAATTGGACTGTATGGGAACAGCCTGACTGATTTATTCCAAGCGATGCATTTTCATCAAAACTCATACATATTCAGCGAGACAAATAGCACGCCGATGAATTCAATGGGCCGCCACTGAAACCGAAACATCTATTTCCTAGCATCTGTTTGCGGGAATTATGTAAAATATTTAATGCAATGTGTTTTCACTGCAATCCTATTTTTGTTTCCCAACCAGTGAATTTTCATTTAAATCAGTATGTTTACCTGAGCCCCGTGTGCGTGCAGTTATTGGAACTGAAATGCAGTTACAGATACAGACTACATGTCGGTGGCCAAGCCAATGCATGTTGATGCAACTGAGCCACTTTTCCAAGACATGTATTCTGTTTCTCTAGAGAGAAACAGAGAGCCCCCTATGATGGTAAATGATCTTGATCGTGAGGGAAGGCGAGAAAGACTGGAGTCCTGGGCTGGAGGGAAATACCACAAGAGCAACAGCTCTCTTAAAACTTTGTTACTCAGGGCACCTGGGTGGCTCAGTCCGTTGAGTGCCAACCTCAGCTAGGGTCATGAACTTGCAGTTCATGGGATCGAGCCTGGTGTTGGGCTCTGAGCTGACAACGTGGAGCCTGGAGCCTGCTTTGGATTCTGTGTCTCCCTCTCTCTCTGCCCCTCCCCTGCTTGTGCTGTTTCTCTATAAAATAAATAACCACTTTAAAAAATTATACAAACAAAACCAAAAACCCTTGCTATGCAAAGTGTGTCCTGTGGTCCAGCAGCGTTGGTACCCCTGGGTGGGGGTGGGGGTGGGGGGGTTGTTAGAAAGGCTGAATCTCGGGCCTCACCCCAGACTTACAGATTTGGAACCTGCATCTTAACAAGATCTCAAGAAAATTTGAACAGTAAAATTTGAGAAGCCCTATTTTAAAACAAACTCTTACGGGGACCCAGGTGGCTCAGTTGGTTGAGAGTCTGACTTTGGCTCAGGTCATGATCTCTTGGTTCGTGAGTTCAAGCCCCACGTCCAGCTCTGTGTGGACAGCTCAGAGCCTGGAGCCTGCTTCAGATCCTCTGTCTCCCTCTCTCTCTACCCCTCCCCTGCATGTACTCTCTCTCTCAAAAGTAAATAAACGTTTAAAAATAAAATAAAATAAACTCTTTTTAAAAAAATTTTAAATGCTTTTTAGTTTATTTCTGAGAGAGAGAGGGGCAGTGTGAGCAGGGGAGGGTCAAAGAGAGAGGGGGACAGATTCTGAAGCAGCCTCCAGGCTCTGAGCTGTCAGCACAGAGCCCAATGTGGGACTCGAACCCACGAACCGTGAGATCATGACCTGAGCCCAAGTCAGATGCTTAACCGACTGAGCCAACCAGGCGCACCTAAAATAAACTCTTAGGTGCACACAGTTATTTTTAGGGTGATGCTAAAAGTTCTAAGACAAGCCCTTTCTCCAGGGAACAAAGAGTTTGGTGGCACCAGCTTCCTTTACCTGCAAAGGCAGCCCCAGCCTCTTCTTTTCAGCGCACACGCCAGACACACGTGTATTTTCTTTGTCAAGGCTCAAGCACCAGAGTCTGCAGAGCTGTCTTCTTTCGCCAGAGTTCACCACCATCACTAGTTTCTCTTCCTTTTATTTTCTCTCCTGTGAATTTATGGGTATATATATGTGTCAACACATTATGAAAACATACATGAGATATATATGTGTTAGACATCATGCACGCTCTTTCCATTTATCTACGTGTTTCTACTATCTTTCCTTGTCCATGTATGCTGGATGGCTTCGACCTTTGAAGCAACCGCATAGTTCTCCCTGCTGTGGATACCCCATAATCTGTACAGCCCGTTCCCCATTAGTGGACGTTTGGATCGTTTTGATTTTTGTTTCTACCAGAAACAGTGCCTCATGAACCTTCTTGAACATCTATTTTTGTGGCCGTGTTTGAGAATTTTAGATCAGATTCCTAGAAATCTTCAGGGTCATGAAAAAGAGATAGAATAGCCTACTAACACTATGCTGGCTCTCAGTAGTGATCAAATGAACGCAAACCGAATAATAGGGCCCCTCCCCTTTTCAGGCTAGCCAGAAGGTTAAAGACTGATACATTTTTGGTAGGAGTGCAAATTGGTGAAGCCTTTGAGAAAAACAGTTAAGCAACCTCCAATCAACAGGTTTAAAAAATTTTTTTTTAATTCTTATTCATTTTCGCAAGAGAGACAGAACATGAGCGGGGGAGGGACAGAGACAGAGTGAGGAAGATGCAGAATCTGAAACAGGCTTCGAGCTCTGAGCTCTCAGCACAGAGCCTGACGCGGGGATCGGATTCGGGAACGGTGAGATTATGACCTGAGCGGAAGTCGGACACTTAACCGACTGAGCCACCCAGGCACCCCTCTAATCAACAGTTGATGATGAAGGTCATGTACAGGCTGCGTCCAGAGCTGGGGAGCGGGGGTGATTCTCAGACACCCAGGGAGGCCCAAGTCCCATGTCTTACAACTCTTAAACCTCTTTCATTCCCTGCCTGGGTTACTTCCCCTCTCGGAGGCAAATCCCAGGAGGGATCAGAAGAATGTGCTAGGGTGTCAGTGACCCCAATGAACCCACACTTCTACTGCCTCTTCCCCAAGTCTCCTTGATGCCAGGGCTAGCCTATGGTCCCATTCTTCTTGCACATCGGGGTAACTTTATTCTGGTCATCTTGTTGCCTTTCCCAGAACCTGGGCCTTCATTAGAGCTGCTCAGGCCCTCTTGCCAGAGAGCCTGAGGTTGATTCTTAGGGAACAGGGGTTGAGTGAGTGGGTCCTAATCTCTCAAAAGGCCTTCATCTCCTTATGGGCACAGCTCATCTCCCTTCTAGAATCCTGGTCCATATGTCGTTTGTATAAGTAACAGAGAAGTTCACTCAATAACCTCTCACTGGGCATAACAGATCAGCCTAAAAAAAAATCCTATGCCTGGGGCGCCTGGGTGGCTCAGTCGGTTAAGCGTCCGACTTCGGCTCAGGTCCTGACCTTGCAGTTCATGAGTTCACACAATTCCTGGAATATTCAAGTTCCCTGCTGCCGGACTGGAAAAAACTTCATAACACACAGGGCATTGGGTAGCGGTACTCAGAAGGGCACTGCCTCAATTGTGGGGAAGAACTAGCTCCAGATCAAAGGCTGTTCTGGTCTCACCTACAAAGTTAAAAGTAAGGCTCAGGGCAATGGGGCGGGGGGTGGGGGACTCAGTTGGTTAAGCATCCAACTTCGGCTCAGGTCATGATCTCATGGTTCGTGAGTTCAAACCCCGCGTCGGGCTCTGTGCTTACAGCTCAGAGCCTGGAGCTTGCTTCCAATTCTGTGTCTCCCTGCCTCTCTGCCCCTCCCCTGCTCGCTCTCTCTCAAAATAAATAAATATTAACAAAAAAACCTTTTTAAAAAATACTATGCCTTAGTGTGCTGAGACTCAGAGAAAGGGCCAAAAGGAGCCACATATGGTCCCTCACAGGTGTCCTTCAGCACCACTGGGGCTCAGCCGAGCATGGACGCCCTTGATGGGAAGGCCGGCCATGTCCAAGGAAAGTTTTTCCCCCAGAGCCAGAATAGGCGCCTACTCTCCACCGTGAGTCAAGCATGCAATGTCTCTCTCGCTCGTTGCCTCTCATCCCTGGGAGTGTATACACTTTGCTGTTTCTCCCTCTCTTCCCACTTCTTCACAGGGCACTAGCTCTATGCAGCAGAGACGAGGGCCCTCTTGAATTGGGAGAGTGGTTTCTGCCGTGCCACGGGCAGCCCCTTTCGGGCCCTGACATCTGGGACATTTGGAATCACTTGTTACAGGAATGGTGCCCTGGCCGGATCCTCGGGGGAGGAAGGACAGGCAAGAGTGGACACGCTCCCATTCTGGGGTGATGACCGTAGGAAGCCAGGCAGGAGAGCAGCCTGCGAAAGTCCATTCGGTGAGCCTTGTCCGTGTCATTAACGGCATGTTATTGTGAAATAGACTCACGTGCATCAGAAATGCCCTATGCCCTCCTAACTCCGTTGGTGATCTCCTCACTGGCTTCAAAACGGAGTCCAAATTCTAAGCCAAGGCAAGGATGTGAAGGAGCAAAGGTGCCCATTCTCGCACAAGAGGTAGGAGAGAACGTCAGCTCTGGGTGCTGGAGGGAGGTGGGTAGCAGGTCACGGGCAGGGGCAGCATGAAGGGTGGAGCTCAAGACCTGGTCAATCAGCCCCTTTCCTCCAGGATTTGGGCCCAGCTGACATTGGATGAATGGATGAATAAATACCAAGGCCCATCCTCAAAGCCACAGAAACCTCCAACGGCAGGTATCAACGTGTGAGTGTGTGCAGAGGCTGGGGGGAGTCCGCTGCAGCCATTTGCTTTCATATTAATGGCAGTGGTGTGTGTGTGTGTGTGTGTGCGCCCCCGCACACGCACACATGTGTTGTGGGAATTCAAGGTAACGGAAGGACTTCTTTGCTGCTAATCAATACACTGTGGCTCTAAGGGTGTCATACACTTTCGTTTGAATGTATGACCGAGGCCTGTTTAATGGTAACCGATGCAAAGAATAATTCAATGGTATTAACCTTGGTATTGATAAATTAAAATTGATCTCCTGAGGCTTCTGAATCCGTAGACTAGCAAAAAGTCGCGATTGCAACTTTGTAGTTGTGCTGTGTGCATTTCCAGAGTAGATATTTTGAATTCCAGCAGTGGGAAAGGATACTTTTTAGCTAGTGACAGGCCACCGTTATCCTGAGTTCTTGTGGCTCTGTGTGAGGGCTGTTTTTGTTGTTCAAATTTTGGTCAGAATTGGTTATTAAGGGAAGCCCCGTTTTGTGTCTATCAGTTTATTCCAGTGGATCATGCAGTAGTGTCTTAAACATGATACATGTAAGTCTCCTTTTTTTTAATTAGGGGAGGTAAAAGCCTAGCATTAACAGTTTATTTTGATTTATGAATGTAGTTTATTCTTGAAACTAATGTCTCTTCAAATGGAAAGGTTTTTTTTCCCTTTATGGGAATTGTAAGTAATATTTAGTGCCTGAGAATATTCTCTATAAAACCCAAGACAGAAAACATAATAATGGCTCAAATGAAAATAGTTACATTAAGATAGAATTTGATTTGCAATTTTAAATGCCTTATAATTGGGGTATCAAAATGTAGTAAGACATTTGGCAAATATAACTTTTTAGGTGCCTTATATATTGAACAAGTTAGAAAGTGTTTATATTCATCATGTATTTCATTAATTATATCTACCTATATTCATATTACTTAAATGAATACTTTTAAAAAATATGTAGTGTTCATTTATTTTTGAGAGAGAGAGAGAGAGAGTGAACAGGGGAGGTGCAGAGAGAGGGAGACAATCTGAAGCATGTTCTAGGCTCCGAGCTGTCAGCACAGAGCCCGATGCGGGGCTCGAATCCACGAACCGTGAGATCATGACTTGAGCCGAAGTCAGACGCTTAACCAACTGAGCCACCCAGGCTCCCCAAATGAGTACTTTTTTAATGTTTATTTATTTTTAGAGAGAGGTAGGGGAGGGGGAGAGGCAGAGAAAGGGGGGCCGGAGGATGTGAAGCGGTCTCCTCACTGACAGCAGACAGTGTCATGCAGGGCTTGAACTCACAAACCATGAGATCTGACCTGAGCTGAAGTTGGGTATTTAACCAACTGAGCTACACAGGCGCCCCTAAATTAATACTTAAAAAAAAACAAAACTCTTTTAGTTTTATTAAAAAGTAACACTACTGGGAAACAAACAGGAATGATTTCCCAGGAACTGTAAGTAGCGGAGAGATGTCACAGAAGTGAGGGCTCGTCAGATCAAGTGTCTTCTACCTTCTCCGAGCGGCGACTTGCATCCTGTCCTCTGATCATGCCACCTCTCCTCCAACCCGTGCAGAGCCAAGAGTGTAAAAGCAAAAATGTCCGTTGACAGTACTTTACAAAAATGTCTTTCATATACAACTGTGTGTGTTTTAAAAAATTGATTTTCCCACGGCCAAATTGGAAGTGCTATATGTCTGAATGTGTTTTTTAAAAGTTCTTCCGGCCGTTCTCCGTAAGCTGTCGGCAGTGACTAGGCACTATCAAGATGACGGACAGTTAACTCCTTCTGTGGCACGAACTGGCTTTAGAACCCTGGCTGGATCTCAGGTGCCACGTGGGGAGCTGACCCCCAAGGGGCCCGTGGCTTCCCACCCTCCTGGAAGAGAATTTTGAGGCCCGAGGCTGTTGTTCATCTTGGCAAGTGAGCAGAGGTCAGGGCAGGAGGAAGGCCCAGGAAACCGAATCTCTCCTCCTTCCCCCCCCATTCCATGTGCCCTCGAAAAAGAGGTAATCCAGAAATTGAGCCAGCTTGTCTAAAATAAGACATTTGGTCACCTCTGTGCATGGACTTCTTCAGCAGATTTATGTCCACATCTAGTACATAAGGCGAAGTTATTCTAAGTCGGTAGTGACTTTTAATTATGCAGTGTTACTGGTTTTCTTTGTCTTTATCAATTGATTTTGTTGCGTGCTGTTTGGTTAACCCTACAATGTGCAGCAAAACATCTGCCTATATTTCTTTTTTAAATTTTTTAATCTTTTTTATTTTTCAGAGAGAGAGAGAGAGACAGAGCACAAGTGGGGGAGGGGCAGAGAGAGGGAGACACAGAATCCGAAGCAGGCTCCAGGCTCCGAGCTGTCAGCACAGAGCCTGATGCGGGGCTCGAGCCCACAAACTTCGAGATCGTGACCTGAGCCAAAGTCAGATGCTCAACCAACCCAGGTGCCCGTCTATATTTCTGATTTGCACTTTCTAGCAGCTAGACTAGAAGATAAGTTGTATGCATTACTGCTTAAGTAGAAATAACCCGTGCCCCTATTGCTAAAACACATATATTATCAATTTTCAAATTGTGGTAAAACATGGACACTTCATGGCTGATGAGCTGCTTACATACGTGTGTGGTTCATTTTCAACGCCATATCAAAATATGTATAATAAAGCTACTTTTAAAGTTTATGGTGCATTGTTTTATACTATCATGTAAACAATATTTTACATGTTCACTATGTTCTGCTATAAATATTTGTCGAAATATTTTGTCAAAAAGTGGGGTGAGTAGGCTAAATGGGCTGAGGAGTATTTGGGCTGGTTAAGTGAATCATCATACAAAGGCTGGAGAGCCGTTCATTATGGAATGCGCTTATTTGGTAAACTTTCAGGCCAGATCACCTCATAGGCAACTGAGGTGCAGATTGGTGGTTTTTGCATAAGTGCAGGAGTTGGGGATGTGATAGAAGAGTCACCTGACCCCGAGCACACTGACGGCCAGAAGCTACACTACGGAAGACACCCGGACCTTAAATTAACACGCATCCTCACTACAATAATGGTTCCTGTCCAACAAACAGGCATTTATTGAGCACTGTTGGGCACTGTTTTATAATACTTATCCATTGTGTTTATAAATAAGTTTCTTCGCAGGGGCGCCTGGGTGGCTCAGTCAGTTAAGTGGCTGACTCCAACAAAGGTCATGATCTCACAGTCCATGAGTTCGAGCCCCGCATCAGGCTCTGAGCTGACGGCCCAAAGCCTGGAACCTGGTTCAGATTCTGTAGCTTTTCCTTTCTCCTCCTCCCTCGCTTACACTCTGTCTCTGTCTCTCTCTCAAAAGTAAATGAACAAGGGCACCTGGGTGGCTCAGTTGGTTAAGCGTCTGACTTCGGCTCGGGTCATGATCTCATGGTTCGTGGGTTTGAGTCCTGCATTGGGCTCTGTGCTCACAGCTAGTTCAGAGACTGGAGCCTGCTTCAGATTCTGTACCTCCCTCTTTCTGTGAACCCTCCCCTGCTCACGCTGTTTCTCTCTCTCAGAAACAAATAAAACATTAAAAAAATCTTTAAAAAAATGTAAAAAGTAAATAAACATTAAAAAATTTATAAAAAATGTTTCTTCTCCTCTAACGTAACTAATAAGCAGTGCTTATTAGTCTCTTCTAAGTAACTAATAAGGTGAAGGGGGTTGAGAGACCTCCAGTCACAAGGAGCACTGAGTAATGTACAGAATTGTTGAATCATTATATCGTATACCTGAAACAAGTATAACACTGCATGTTAACTCTACTGGAATTAAAATTTAAAAACAGTGAGCAGTTCACTATTTTCTGCTCCAAATCTCCATTATTATACATAGAGGAGCTCCTTACCACCAAGAAGCTCATAATGTATGAGGGTGGCAGGCTTTTTATAAGCCATCTTAGTAAGGATATATTAGCAAACACAATCACAAGGATCAACTAGAGAAGCAGGGTGAAAGCAGGAAGTCTGGAGTCAGGCCACCTGCATCCGAATCTTGATTCTGACACTTTCTAACTTACTGGCTGTGTGATCTTGGACAAAATACCTAACCATCCTGTGCCATTTTCTCATCTGCAGAACAATAATTTTATAAGAGTTGGTAGTTATGAAGCACTTAGAAAAGCACTTGTGCTTATTAGTTGTAAAATACTGTTTCCTAAATAGAGTTAACATTAAAAAGACTATGTGGGACAAAGAACAGCAAAGGGTTAAGATTCTCACATGTGGATCTGGGAAATGTACCCCTCCCCTTCCTCAGCTATGGAGTTTGGGGAGGATCAAGCTCTTCCTGTAGCTCCAGGAATGGGCCCTGATTGGTTCATCAGCAAATAATGCCTTTCTTCTCATTGCACTGATTGGTTAAGGAATGGGCAAATGACCTATGTTAGACCAATGAGAGAAAGGCTCTCGGGAATTGTAAGAGGTATGCCAGGGTAGAGTCTTTTTTCTTCATGGGATGTTATGTTGTAGAGTGAAAATGCAAAGTCTGGACTCCTGGTAGCCATTTTGCTACCACAAAGGGCAAGCCGGGAGTGGAAAGCACCCCTACCCCTGGGTGTAGCCTGATGATGAAGATGACACCATGAGAGGAAGAGTGAGGAACATGGAGAATTTGTGTCTTTGATTATATTGCTTGAACTGCTGGATCGAACCTTACTTGAAGGCAGTCCTTTTGTAGATTTCTGAATTTTAGGAATCCGTAAACTCCCCCCTATGCTCAAGCAAGTTTGAGTTCGAGTGCTGTCACCGGCGACTGAAAGAATCCTCA